AAAAAACCAAAAAATAGAAAACCACAGTAATGCCAAATGACCCATAAGAAACCAAATCTAAATTGTCAACAAAAAAAAAAAAAAAAAAAAAAAGGCAAGACCCACATAAAACCCACCCAATGATAAAACGACACATCAGCAAACCTGTTGTTCATGACGTGTCAAGCAACTACTAAACCAAAACCGTGTCTATTTCTTTCTCCTCTGTCATCCCATTAATAATTTAACATCCTCTCTCTCTTTCCTCCTAACCAACCGGAGCAAATCAAAATATCAAGCATACTCCGGCGATTTCGTCGGGAAACTCACCGGAAAACCTCCAAATCATGGCGACCACCGACAAATACAACCTCAAGAATCCGGCTGTCAAGCGGATCCTCATGGAAGTTAAGGAGATGCAATCCAATCCTTCTGAAGATTTCATGAGTCTTCCTCTGGAGGTTGTTCTCTCCTCTTTTTCAAAAAATTTGCCTTTTATGTTTCCGATTTGATGCCTCTGATTGTTTTCTAGCTTTGTCGATTTGTTGAGCTTCAAATTTGATCTCGATTGCATTTTCTAGGGTTTTCATTACGAAATTTTTTGGGGACATGTTTATTTGAAACATTATTTGCTAAATTAAAATTGATAATTTGCTTATTTACGAGTAATTATTTATCTGGCAGTGAAAATAAAGGTTTTTGATGGATTAGCATGATAGATTTGTTGATTTTGTGCTGAAATTGTTTGGATACATACCTAGGTTTCTGGTGTTAATTTTCAAATTTGGTAATTCCTTACTGAATTATAAAAATTTAAATTTCCGGCAGCTTTATTTCAAAATTTCGCTGGTAAATTAACAATTAGAGTATTAATTGATTATCATGAGTTGCCTTTTAATGTTGATATTTGATAATAGACTTTAGAAGAGGATTACAGAACAAATTACGGAATTTTCATCCGTTGCCTGGGTTTGAACTTGCAATTGTATTGGAATTTAGATCTTTGGTTGCTTTAATAAGCAATTCGGAAAAAATTTCTTGTTAATGATTGAGTTATGCTGGTCTGGTTCATTCAGGAGAACATATTTGAGTGGCAATTTGCGATAAGGGGACCCCAAGATACTGAGTTTGAAGGGGGAATCTATCATGGAAGGATTCAACTACCATCAGAGTATCCATTCAAGCCTCCTTCTTTCATGTTGTTGACGGTAATTACTTTTGCTCAATCACTTCTTACAATTTTCCTGTTCAAAACAATGTGATGATATCTGTATTCTGCGAATCTTTGCAGCCCAATGGTCGTTTTGAGACCCAGACTAAAATATGTTTGAGCATATCAAACCATCATCCAGAGCATTGGCAACCTTCTTGGAGTGGTAAGCTGGACTTTGTTTGCTTCTCATATTTCAAACTCCATATTATAGCTGTACAAGTTATGTGTATGTGCCATCGTTGTATGGATAGGTTTAAGTGTGCCTTTCTTTGTGTCTATGCTGCTTGATTCTCAATTGCTGTAGAATTTTTCTGCTAGATTAGTGTTATTTAATGCACTGTGTGAACTGCTTTGAAGCATAGAGTTCTTGGGGCAGTGTTTGTTTTTTTAGTTCTTAATTAGCATTTGATAGGAGAATGAACATACGTGTACTTGAGACTATGATAGTGGTGGGGTTTGATCTGGAAGCTTTGTTTAAAGTTGGCTTTTGAAATAGTATGAAGAAATAATAAGATGTGTGCATGTATTTCTCTACATTTTCATGGTTAATATTCATGTTTTAATGGTGCTGGTGGCAGTTCGTACGGCATTGGTGGCACTCATCGCTTTCATGCCAACAGCTCCTAATGGTGCTTTAGGATCTTTAGACTACAAGAAGGAAGAGCGACGTGAACTAGCTATTAAATCTCGTGAAGCATCACCAAAGTTTGGAACTCCTGACCGGCAAAAGGTCATTGATGAGGTTAGTTCTTGCTTTTTAGTGACCTGTCTCCCCTCTTATTATGCTGCATACTATTGCTACTGAATGTTAATACCTATCGACTTTACAGATACATGAATACATGCTTAGTAAGGCTCCACCAGTTCCTGAAAACCTGAAGCAGGCTTCCGAAGAGAATCCAGGTGAAAAGGAGGCTGAAGCAGAGGGAAGTGAGAATGCTGGAAGATCAGCTAATTCTGTAGACTCTGCAAATGCAGGAGGTGAGAGAGCTGCCGAGGAACCTCAAGCAGCTGTTGACAATGCTAATGCTAATGCTAATGCTGTGGATCAAAGAGAAGCAGTTCCTAGACAAGTCAGAGCTGGAATTTCAAACCAACAGGTTCAACAGAGGCTCGCACCTAGGAATCAAAGGCCCAGTGATGATCGTTTTCTCACATGGGCAGCCGTGGGGTTGGCTGTTGCCATTGTTTTTCTTGTACTGAAGAAGCTTGTGAAATCCAGTGGTTATGATGCTATTTTTTTGAGGGAATCGTAGATACTAGATATGATTGATTTTGTGTGCAAAGATGGCAGGCAGATCAACAAATGTTGCATTTGTGAGAAAATATTGAAAGTATGTGGTGTATATTGTCTAGGCCTTAATCAAGCTATTTGATTATAGCATTATCATGTAAACATTTATATTATAACCTCGTCTGGAATAGTAGTATCCAACATTATAAAGATGCTTAGTAAACTGTGGTTTTGACCTCATTGATAAAGTTCGGTCTACTGATGGTAGACTTAGTTAAACTATATATGGAACTTATGTAAGCAACATCCACTGATGAAAATTGGTGTGAGCAAGCTTCTGTCTATATTTTGTTTAGAAAACCTAGTCTCATAAGTCATAACTTTGGCTTAGAACTGTCAAGGTATAGTCATAACAACATTAGACCAGAATAAATGAAGAATTAGGGCAATGTATTACAAAGCAACATTAAATAGGGGAGACGAAAGAGGAACTTGAACCAAAAATATTGTGAAGTATTAATTAATTTCAACTCCTTGTGAATGTAATTACTACGGAGTAACATTTTTTAATCACTTACCTAGCTTTGAAACGTATAAAGCTACATCTATTCATTGGGTAAATTACTCAGTACTAATAGACAATTAAAAAAAAATAAGTAGTGTTGAGTTCGATTTCACTATCATCTTTTAATCACAGATGCAACCATTAATCATGTCTTACCCTCCCCTCACATCTCTATGTTAATTGTCTTAAAAAACAAGGAAAAAGAACAAATTCCGTCACAAAAGAGGATGCAAGTAGGTAGTAGAAAGGTAGTTGGTTTTGAAATTGGACTCTGCATTAGTATTCCAAATACCTATAAGCAGTAATTGCACCAGAGACGTATGAATTTCCTACCTAAGCAATTGGCAAACTATGGAGTATCTTTAGCTATCAAAATCAGATGAGTAGATAAACCTGACGAATCATCCGAATGCTGTCAATAGAACAATCGTTATTCAGTTTCTTCATGAGTAATCAATCAGGGTTGGAGCTGTGTCAACTACATGACCGACTCCTTTCATCTCTTTGATCAAGTTATGCAAGACTGAGAAGACCTCATCAGTTCTGCAGTGTGATATGTCTCTTGACACAAAAGTATTCACTTTATCATCTATTTCAATCCAACTGCAGCCTGGCTCTTTGATCACTAGATTCGATTCCATTCTTTCCCGGATCTCCTTCACCTCTGTCCACATACCTTTGGATGCATATATATTTGAAAGCAAAATGTACGATCCACTGTCTTCTGGGTTAGAGGATATAGCCATCTCTGCAGCATAAGCACCTAATTCATAATTTCCAGTGGCTCGACAGGCACTGAGCAAGCTTCTCCACACTATAGCAGCAGGTTTAACTGGCATTTTCTCAATAAATTCTTTTGCATCATTCAGCTTACCAGCTCGTCCAAAGAGAGACACCATGCAGGCATAATGCTCCATACCTGGTTCAATTCCGTAGCTGAACATTGTGTCAAAATGGTTAAGCCCAGCTTCTACCAGCCCTACATGACTGCATGCCGAGAGAAGCCCTATAAATGTCACATAGTTTGGTTGCAACCCATCTTGGAGCATCTTCTCATACAAGGAAAGAGCTTCTTCAGCAACTCCATGATTTGCATAAGTGGAAATCATAGAATTCCAACAGGCAATATCCTTCCACGTTGTGGTATTAAATAATTTGTATGCATCTTGTAAGCATCCACACTTAGCATACATATCCAACAGGGCATTTGTGACAAAAGCATCACTGTCTAAGCCAGATTTCATTAGCTGACAATGAAACTGTTGACCATGGCGAAGACTAGCAAGATTACTTGCCGCAGTGAGCATTGCAACAAAAGTGAACTCATTAGCCTTTTGTCCAGCCACTTGAAATTGACTGTAAAGATTAAGAGCCTCTTCATTTTCCAGCTGTTGAGTATAGCCAAAGAGCAAAGCATTCCACACTACCACATCTTTCTCACTGATCTCATTAAACACCAGTCGTGCCTCCTCGAGAAAATTGCATTTACAATAAACATCTATCAAGGCACTGCTTGCAAACAAGTTGCTAGACCCACCTACCTTGATGATAAGGCCATGAATTTGTTTGCTCAATTCCAAAAAAGAAAGTGACGCTGCTACCCCAAGAATGCTAACGTATGTTAAGAGACTGGGATGTAGCAGCTTAATCCTCATATCATGGAACAAAATTAATGCTTCAGAGATCATTCCCAATCTTGAGTATCCCTCGATCATTGCATTATAAGATATCACATTGTTCTGAATCACTGAATCAAAAGCCATTCTTGCATCTGCAAGGGAATTACATTTGGAATACATATCAATCAGTCCATTCCTCACATATTTATCATACTCGAGATTTGCTTTAATAATATAAGCATGGACCTGTTTTCCTGGCAAAAGAGCTTCAAGTGAACCACATGAATTGAGAATGCTTGAGCACACAAAATCATCAAGCTTCCTACCACATCTATTCATTCGATGAAACAATTGTAAGGCTTCAACATGAAACGAATTCTGCATATATCCAGCAATCATAGTGGTCCATGAAATAGCATCTTTTGCATCAATCTTGTCAAATAACTTCCTTCCACTTAATACTCTACCACATTTCACATAAGAATCTAACAGCACATTCATTACAGAAACGTCCAGTTCCATTCGTCTTCTCAATACATGAGCATGAATTTGTTTACCCCCCTCAAAATACTCAAGCACTGAGCAGGCATTTAGTACACTAGAAAGAACATATCTATCAGGGACAACATCATGATCCCTCATCAACTGATGAAACAGCATCACTGAAACATCACTTCTTCCACTCTTAGCATATCCTGTCATCATTATAGTCCAAGTAAACAAACTTTTCTCATTTAGCTCATCAAAAACCAATCTAGCATCATCGATATCGCCTATCTTTGCATAAAAATCAGTCAATGCAGTACCCACATACACATGTTCACTCAAACCACTCTTTTACAACAAAACCATGCACTTGAGTTCCCTGTGCCAGAACACCCATCTGCACACAAGCACGCACCACGCTTGCTAATACATACTCATTAGGGTTCTCATCGCAACTCCACCTACATTCTGAAAAGACCATTAAACCCTCTTCAGCAAAACCATGCTGCACATAAATTTTAACCATGGTTGACCAAGATATCAAGTTTCTCTTAGGCATTTTATCAAACACTTTCTGTGCATAACTAACGCAACCCAGTTTAGAGTACAAATGCATAAGAATGTTTCCCAGATAAACATCGTACCCAAGACCAGAAACAAGAAGGTAGCCATGAATTTGTTTATAGTACAAAATGGGTTTTTCTGAAAAGCTTGGTAATTGTAAAAGATAGGCAAATTCTCGACGAACACTTTGGAGTTTTCGAGCAGAAATCTGGATTTTTGGGATTATTTCAGATGACAAGGTTGATAAAGATGAAGATTGAGTCCCAATGATTTTATAGCACAATCTTAAGCATGTATTTGTATAGTGTATTTTCATTCTAATTATGACATTATTTACAATATAGAACTAACTCTATTCTGACCTTTGAGAGAAAAATTTTGAAGGTAGATAAGTACATTTTTTTTTTTGACACAAATGTAGATAATACATCGTAGTAATCACATTACTAAACTTTTTGCAGTCTTTAGAGTTTGGTACTTGTATATGATTTTTGAGGTATAGATTATTCACAAAACATAAATAATGTACTCTCTATATATAAAGATATTTAGACCCGGTTACTTTACCTTTTGCTAAATTGTACTGAGTAATTATTTTTTTTGAAATGAAATTATTTTTGTTGAAATTAATTTATATTTACTAAATTAAATTTAATTGTATTGAACTGAAATTAAATTTTGAATTAAAATTAATTTTAATGAATTGAACTTATTTTTGCTTAATGTCTTATTCTAGTAATTTGTGTTCACGAATTTGAAGACAATAGATTTTGCTAAACAAAGCCCTAAATATATTTCACAATGATACATGAAGCTTAGAAGTTAAAATATAGAACTATAGAAGTGCAAAAAAATCATAGATTTTAAATTAAATTTTAATTCTTACCGCTTTGTTATTTACTTACTCGTATTTGTATTATATCTTTAGCTAGTAAAACCAAGTCGTGATTAGAAAAAAATTATTCATTCTAGATACGAGTATATGACAATGGAAAGTGCCGTCAGGAACTGAAACCCAACACGACTAGCACACAGCACCCCTTCAGAAGAAGGGGACATAGGCAAGGTTAATCCCATGAGATACAAATCATTACGCACCGAAGTACGTACTAGGTAAAATTAGAAGATACCATATGGTAGCACATTCATGTTCTAAATTACACATTCTCATCAGTTACTATGCTACAGCATCTGTTACTGTTGATCTATTATATTTACATAGCAATAGAATTTCAGGTTACACTACCAAAAAATATCGTCTTGTCACAAGTTCTATTCCATACATCATCTTGTCACAAGTTCTAATCTAAGCTAACATAGAGATTAATCCTTGCTGCCGGTAGGATTTCCGAGGTCAAATTACTATGAACATCATCTACAGTAAAATGAGGTCATCCTGGACAAAAAAGGGCACCACACTGTTAAGATCAGCAAGCAGGCAGAAGTTCCACATTTCCTTGCACTGCTTTGTAGCAATGCAGGCTGCACAGAGGGAGTTTCGATTTAGAATCCCGATACTTGTATTCATTAGTACAATTTGGTCCAACACATTTTTCACGTGGTGGAGGATATCTGGAAAATTTCAGGTCAGATATCAATGCTAGATTTTCCAAGACGGCAAAGGAAGAGTATCCCAAATAAGATCCACTAAACCACAATAACTATGTTAAAGAGTTTTCCAAAGAATGTCAGTATATGGAATAGTAAAAGCGCTGCATAGCCTCATACCTGCAGGGCAAGGGATCAAGTATCTTTGGTAGCCCCATATCAACAGAGAAAGTAACAACTGTTCCATGTGGACCTATGATCCATCTCACTGTATTGGGTCCAAGTGCTGCAGTCTTGCCAAGCCTCTCCTGCATAGATATACTTTTATGACATGGTTCTACAGGAGTATGCATACAGCACAAGTATACATCTTAGATTACCTGAGCTAGTTCTTCCTGTTGCTTCTTCAGCTTCTCTCCTTTCTTCCGGTTAGAGTCTTGTCCGAGTATTTTTCTGATTGCTTCATCCTATGACATGTATAATAGGGTATTTCCCGATAAGGCAAAGCAAGAAAACAAATAAAAATAACAGTTAAGGACTAAAAGAGCAAATGGTGAACCTCAGCTTCCTTAGCTGCCTTCTCAGCCAGAAATCGACGCCTTTGTGCAATTTCAGCTTTCCTCAGTTGTTGCTCTACTTCAGAAAGCTTTTGCTCTGGCATGATCAACTAGCAGGTCAAAAATGCCCAGACATAGATAAAAAGTGCATAAAATGTGATCAAATGCCACACTAATCTCTTGTTTATTGGAGGGGGCAGGCTAGTCAATGTATTTTCAATCAAGAATTTGGCAGAAAGACCATCAGCAATATCAAGGTAAGGCTGTGTAAATCTAATACTTCCAGACCCTACCACAACTCCACATGTGGCAGCCATAAGCATAGATTGATTTATTAAAATCTCAAATCACGTTTTATTAAAGCATGGAGATACATAACTAATAAAATAAATAAATAAATAATGTTTACTTTTGAAAGGGGCATTGGGCAAGCCATTTGGGAATTCCACCAGACCGCCAGATTCAGGACACTCAAGAGCTCTTTTACGTGTAGTAATGGTCAACTCTTGCCCATTAGGATCAATAGATTCTCCAGTAAGCCTTTTCCTCTTGCTCTTGAGCTCATCGTCTGAAGTCAGCTCCACTTCAAAGTCATTATCCTTGTGCATTCTCAGCTTCTTTCTACCATCTTTTGTATCACTATGAGCTAAACCCATAAGATTTACTATCCCTTTACTTTTCCTGCCAATTTCCTCTTGCTTGTCCTCATAGCCAGAAGAAGCCCTGGATGCTCTGAGTTTCTTCAGGTAACGAATTTCCTCATCATCTTCATCATCGAATCCCTCTTCCACATCAACTTTCTTGGAAGCTTGCTTGCTCTTATGACCTGATTTATACACTGCATCCCTGTTTTGAATCACGTATCTCCTTGAAAAGTTCTCTTTTGCATCGAAAGCACTGTACCCGGGGAAGTCCTGCAACCAGTGAATATTCACACACTTACTACAAAACAGTTGCTGAGTGAAGTCACTTGGTTAGTGACTTGAAAAGAAAAAGAAGTTTTTTATTTTATTTATTTATGTATTTATTCATGTATTTTCCATTTTTTTTCTTCTAATATCAAATCCAAAAGCACCATCCACAAACGAAATCATGTACTGTATAACAATAAACTCCACAGTTATTAATGATCACTTATCTATCAAAAAATTACTTCACAAAAGCAACTGAGATACCTGTTTTAGGTGAGCACCAGAGACGTCATGTGAATCAAAAGATCTTATACCAAGTGGTTCACCCCCTAATGCAATCTCCGTCATGGGTTTGGTATGAAGTGTACGGGTGATGCCACCAAGCTTTAGCTTCACTTTCTTCAGCTTCTTTATGTCAGACCTGTTGTGATCACCAGGAGGAGGATGGTAAGTTTCAAAATCATTCCCCGTCCCTGAGTTGCCATTTGAGCAATGCAAGCTAATGGCTTCATGCTCTTCATACTCTGTTGGTGAGTTAGGCACAGAGAAATCATTAAGGAAATTGGTAATTGTCTTTAAATCATGATGAGGTCGCCTATTAAAGTTACTTCTCTTTTTCCTTGCACCAGGAAAGCAGGGACTGGTTGCAGGGCCACCGAGCAATTCCATTTGCAGAACTTACTCAGCCAACTTAGTTTAGAAGCTCTTTTCGTTGAAGAGAAAACTGATCGAATATGCCATATTAAGCATATGTCTGATATACTGCATTGATCAAACAATAGTATTAAAAATTGACAAATGAAAAACAAATAAAAATAAAAGAGAAAAGCATAGAGGACTAGAGGTGGAACCACCAAAATCATATTTTAAATTTTAGACCCTTTCCAAATTTTAGCATCAAAAAATGAAATTCGGAACACGTACTTCTATAATATTTTCATATTAGGAACTTCAACTTTAAAACCAACATGCTCGATAGAGCACTGTAGATGTTAACCAGTGCACAGTTATATCTTCGGAATAGCCAAGATAAAATATAGGTCAAAAGGCTTTGTTCACCGGCTCACCACATGGGGCAATAAGACTTTATAACCCAGATAGCTGCATAGCTATTGCAAAGTTTTCATAGTCTCAAGGCAGAGAACATTGCTCCCCAAAAATGTCACTCCTTTCCTTTAATTCTGTCCAAATTAAAAGTCATTTCACTTATTTTCATAACAAAGATTTATTTAGCTCTACCTACATTGAGTTAATTCAATCATGGTCAAGCAAAACTTGCTTCCATAATTATATTTCTTGCTATATATATATTCAAAATCAGCCTCACACATCAGTTTTTAAGGTTATCTACCTGTCTAGGAAAGTTGAAGTAAAGGTCAAGGGTCAGCCACAAATTCACAAGTGAGGCTTATAAGATTAGACATGACCATCTATTTCAAATCATGTCAGTGTGAAGCATAGCATGTTATTTGTTACATGTATTACATGTGACAATCAGGCACCAATGGAGAGAAAGTGTATATTAATTGAAACACAATTCTTTATCATCAATAACATCAAACAATATCAGACAATAACCATGGACATGGGATAGCATTTAATCACTACCAGCAAAAGTGCTGTAGCAGATCATTCAGTAAAGGAATGAGTTTACGGAACAAATACTACCATTAGTGCACCAAAAATGAGGAACTTAATCTATAGAACTATATTCTGATATTCAACATAACATAACTTAACTTCAGTACTTATCTTTACCAAGTGAAGAAATCAAACAAAAGAAAATAGTGTTAGTACCTACGCTATCTTCTTATTTCACTTGATAAAAATAACTTCGGACAAGATAAATTTAGGGCTAAAACTTCCACTCAAGTGAAATGCCAATAAGTCGAAACAAGTTCATATAGGTTAAGTTCAAGGCTACCCGGTTATACTTGTAATATGTTCGTAAAGAAAAGTGAAATTCAAGTGAAAAAAACCAACCCCTAGTTCAAAGAAGATGCAATACAGACTACCCAAGTTAAATTCACAACTGCAAGTTCTAATAAATTCAAGAATTACCAAACAATCTACAGACTACACAACTCGAATCAACAAAGGAAAATGCAGCAGTTCTACTATCATACAACAGTTCAATTAGCCCAATTTAAGTCAGCATGTTACTTTAAGCCATACTTACAAGATAGTTTAGACAATCAACCTTGAAGAAGAGTGTACTCAGCAAAAATCAAGCTTTTAAGTTCTCAGAAATACACTAAATGCAAGCAAAAATAAGAGAATTCTGATCAAATTACGCAAATTTGCTATCAATTAGTACCCATTACAAAGCAAGAAACAATCCAAAATTTGAACTAAGCATAGTTGAGCTTAAAATATTGCATGCAGAAGCTGAATTTTCAGTGTAAACAAGTATATTCGAAATTGGGCACCATAATAATGCGCTAACAAAATGAGAGACAATAACTTCAATTTACAAGAGAAATTAATCAAATTCACAGAGAATTGCAGTTACCTTGAACAAGCATTGAAGAAAGATCGGAAACCCTAGCTCAATTTGGGGATTTCTAGAGAGAGAAAAAGAAGTGAAAAAATAAAATAAATAAATAATTGAGGGCAATTGGATTAGCCTAAGCAAGGTTCGAATTCAGGTGTTTAAGAGGAGTTTAGTTGGCAGAAAAATTAAACTTTTTTTTTTTTTTTGAAGGGGGAGGTTAAAATTCATTAATAGTAAGCCATACGGCACTTACATAAGAAATCGTAATCGAACAATACAAAGACAAAAGAACCAATTTCAAGTTCGAAATAAAGGAAACTACAATTGCACGCGCAAAATGACTTTCTGAAATATCCTTGGCTCATATAACGCTGTCCTATGCAGCCTCTTGCAAGGGGGTCTGGCAATATGTTGTAGTTTCTGACGTGAACCTTCATTGACTCAGAATCCCGTACTCCTCGACCAGAAATCAAACTTGGTGCTATACACTTCACCATTGACAATACAATCTCTGATTCAAACACGGACCCCAGCTTGGAAGCATAACCCTTCAGCCCAAACCAACAGAAGATCAAACCAAAGCCTCATAGCCAAAAAACCCGGTTCAAAACATGCACCAGAAGATCGGCACACCGATCTGCACACCCCATAGCACACAAACGCACCACACAAGAAGAAAAAATAACAAACCCTAAAGAACAACACACACAACGACTAAAATAAGAAACGGACAGAAAATTAAAAACGAGAACTACAAACGAAACCCTAGCAAACGACCCCGCAGCCAATCCGAGAACCACCATCCAAGCACCAAGGTTCACCAACCTAACCCACAAACCACCGTACAGGAAAGCCCGACCCGCAGGAACCTGCCCGAGAAGCCCAAACCCCACACAACCCTGAACCGCGGCAACGACGACCGGAAACACCAGACTGAGAACGGCCCTATGCGAGGGACTTAGAGGGAGATAGCTCTCCCTCCCCGTTCTCCTGCAAAACGTCGCGACGACGACGGCTAAGGCGGTGGAGCAGAGACACGGCGGGGAAGCGGGGAATAAGAGAGGCGGCAAGCCGACAACAAGGCCGGTGAGGAATAGCGGCGGCCGGAGAGGGGAAGCGGCGCAAAAAGCTAGGTCGACCGGACAAAAAACCAAAGCGAAAAAAGAAAAAAAAACACCTCAAGGAGGAAGATCGGAGGCTCGCCGACATAATGGCATGGGCGGTGAGCCGCACACCTGCCGGCGAGCCTCATGGCCGGAGCGATTTTGAGAAGACGGTTGGGTTTTTTGGGGGTAGAGAGAGAGCGTTTTTATGTATGCAGTCGTATATCAGTTGAAGCTTGATAATTAAATTAAACTTTGTTTAATGATACTCCATACTTGGTAATCTGTAATAGTTTGACTTTTACACTCGTTAATATAACAATCTGTATTTATGATATGTATTTTGAGAAAGAGATTAAGGGCATATTCACTTTAGCTTAATTTCATTTCAGCTCCTAATTTCCTTCTCTCATAAAATAATCAATATTCATTTCAGTTAAGATTCAATCAGTTCAATTTTACTCCAATCAGTTTAGTCCAGTTCAGTTCAGTAAATATGAATAGGCCCTAAATAATGTAAATGAATAAAATAATCAAAGTAATTTATAAACATGGTATCTAAGCTAATCCTTCTTCATTACTGGGGGTAATGGTGTTAAAATCAAAGTAATTGTTTGTATTTGTCTTGAGCATGATAATAAAGGAAAACAGATGATGTACTACAATTTACAATAAACATGAAATTGATTTTGAAAATGTAATAACACAATAATATTAGATTAATTACGCTTGTTTTATCATGAAGTATCACTCTTCTTCTATAGGGAGTACATTATTTGCAATATTGTTCATAATTCGTATGTTTAATCACTATTTTTGGATTTTCTCACATAGAGAATAAGGGTGTGTTATATTCACCTGATTTTCACTTATTTGAACTTATTAGACCTTATTAAATTTTATATTAATTGTAATTTGTATTTGGGCAACTCTTATAAGAAGTTATCAAACATCAACTGAACTTAATACACCTGAAATAAGTTAAAATAAGGTGAACTGAACAGGTTCTAAACCTATAAAATTCAACCTCATGGTAAAATTGTCTTCTCTAGTCTCTATTCTACTACTACGTATGTTATTTCATAATTGACAATTTAACATGAATCCATATCTTCGAAAAAGTGATTTTAACACACCACTAATTGATTTTGACATATCTCCCTAAGTGAGAGTATAATTGTTTAGGGTGAAAATACCCTAAGACACGTGGCCCAATAAAGGCTTGACACGTGTCAATCTTTCAGCGGTCTGCAAAGGCCCAATTCCTTTGCAGACACGTGTCCCTTATACCCTAATTGAGGTACAGTTCTCCCTTACTATAAATAGTAAGGGTAGACCTCATTTATGACCTACATACATTAATTGCAACCACAAAAAAACCAAACAAAGCCAAAACCTACTGAAACGCTCTCGAACCGAGAAGCTTTTACTGTTCTTATTCCACTTCGAAAAGATACTAACTTAATCTTCGGAGGCGGAACTCCCACCCCCATCCGGAGTCTCCGTTACTTGTGCAGGTACAGGCGCAAGAAGGAAGTCTGCTAGGTGAAGGTACAGGCGTAAGAAGGAAGTCTGCTAGGAAATTGTAACTCTCCCGAAGGACACATAGAAAACCCCCAAACATCTGGCGCCGTCTGTGGGGAGAGTACTTTCTAGATGACATCTGAGCCTATACTACCTGGTAAAGGCAATCTGCCTACTGGGGAGGTTGAGGTCCATTCGGACCAAGATACAGCCGATAACTATGACTTGGAAGCCTACACTGCTGCGGATGGCTCTTTGAGGACCAAGAACACCCGTTCCAAAGATAAGAGAGAACGGGAAGGGAACCAGGCGGCTCCTAGCAAGCCAACTAGGGGGCCGCTTGGGTTAACCTCTACCGCTGGAGACTCCCCAGTCTCCAGAGATGAGCTCATGAATATGATGATGAGCTTCAAAGGAGAGATCAAAGGCCTTCTGGACTACACAGCCGGCCCCCGTAAGGGTCAGGCGGAAGAAAGGCGTCACGGTGAAAAGACGGCCAAAACAGTCAAGGGTAGAGCATCTACCCCACATCCGAAGTCAGACATGCCAGCTAGGCTCTTTGATTTCTCAAATATGCACACTCCTATAGATGGAGTCAGAAAGCCCGTCCGGCACATTCAGCCGGATGGAACCAAGAAAATCTATTCTGATGCCCGGACGCTCATCCAAGATAAAAAGACTCAGCGATCCGAGTCGGCATCAACATCGACCTTTCGAGACAGCTTCAATGCCACCTCAGGAAGGCACTCGAGAACAAACAATGACAGCCGGACGAGCGAGGTTTCCGCTCGATCCGGCCCCCATATGATCCAACCGGAAGTGCATGGAACACCGTATACGCCCTTTGGACCCCCCTATGCACAGGCAGGTATTTTCGGGGGGCAGCATCAGTCGCCCGTCCAGCCTATGGACTGGCAGCTCCGGCTGCTCAACCTTGGGGAACAGCCAACGGCGTTCTCCAGAGAAATCACCGAGATGACCCAGCCGTCTAAAATCAAAAACGTGTTGGTAGGCGCCTACGACGGTACCACCAACCCGGAAGATCACCTTATGGCATACACCAACCTGATGTATTTGCAGGGTTTGGATGATGCCGCATGGTGCCGGTGCTTCCCGGCTACGTTGAAAGGGATTGCTCAACGTTGGTTTGGTAACCTCCCAGCCGGATGCATCAATAATTTCAGGACCTTGGCCTACTGGTTTACGTCCAACTTTTCTATGAACATCCCTGCCAAGAAAACAAGCCTTGATCTAGGGGCAATACAACAGGGAGACAAAGAGGGGCTCCGGTCATATGTCAGGCGGTTTAACCTGATGAGGATCCAAATCCATGGATTGTCTGATGACGTTGCCTATACTGATTTCTTCAAAGGCTTAAAAGATGGATCAACTTTTAAGTTTGACTTGGTTAGGAAGAGGGTCTCCACTCTTCACGAGGCACTCATGAAGGCGGAGGCCTACATTCAGGCAGTGGAATTGTGTGCTGTTAAACTTCCAACGGATTACAAAAGATCCGATAAAAAAGAGAATCGGCCTACCCAGTCGTCCAAAAAAGGAAGACAAGAGAAAGGGGGTATGGGCGGCAGACTCATCCGGACAACCTTTCCAAAAAAGGAAGAGGTCGGATCCGTATGTGCCAAAGTACGAGTTCAACAAGGACTGTGCCTCCATTCTCAACGAAGTAAAGGACCGGTTGAATCTTGAAAAACCGTCTCCTATGAAGAGTCCTCTAAGCGCCCGGGATAAGAGCAAATATTGTCTTTTTCACGAGGAAATTGGCCACGACACTGAGGGTTGCTTTAGCCTCAGGCGGCTCTTCGACCGGCTCGCTGATGAGGGGGCTCTCAAATCTTATCTTTCCAAGTCAAGGGGTACACCTAAACAAGCAAGAGGACCACCCCCAAAGAAGACGGCTACTCAATCGGATACGGATGAGGAAACCATCCTGACCATAGCCGGTGGATTTGCGGGAGGTGGGCCTACCATTCGGGGCACAAAAGACAACATTCGGAAACTGGTCAACTCGGTGGATGAGGGCCAGTCGTCTGAATATTCATTTCTGGAAGTTAACATCTCCGAGAGAGATAGGGGTGAGGTCAGGCGGCCTCATGATGACCCCATAGTCATTGAGTGCAAAATCGCCAATCAAAGAGTTGGCCGGATCTTGATTGATACCGGGAGCTCATCCGACCTCATCAGCTACCGGTGCTTGGAGAAACTCAAGTATAAGCCCAGCAGCATGCTTCCGGCCTCATACCCTCTTGTAGGTTTTGGGGGAGGAGTAGTACATCCGGTGGGCATGATTGATCTACCCATCCGGTTCGGAGAGAAGGGTAAGGGCCGGCATATGGTTGTCAAGTTTCTTGTTGTAGAAGAGCTGACTGCCTACAATCTGATTATTGGCCGTCCAACCCTTAACCTCTCAAAGGCAGTCATCATCCCATCTCTAATGTTGATAAAGTTTGAAAGGGATGATGGCACAGTCGGTTCCTTGAGTGGGGACCAAAAGATGGTGAGAGAGTGTTACCTCTCGGACATCAAACCAACGCTTGACACAGGCGGTCAAGAGAAAGAAATTTTTGAACTTGACGACTGTGATCAAAGCTTACCGGCTACAAAGCCAGCCGGTAAAAAGAGGAAAGCAGACCAACTGGCGCCTGTGAAGGAGAAACAATAGCAATCACTGTCCGGGGAGAGGACAAACATCCTTCGCCCTCAGCCGGCAGGAGAAATAATTGATGTTGTCCTTGAAGACTGTCGGCCAGACAGAACCGTCAAGGTTGGAACGGCTGCGTTTGAAAGTTTGGGATCAGGTTTGCTCCTTTTGCTGAAGGAGTTCAAAGATGTGTTTGCCTTTGAAGTAGAAGAGATGCCGGGTGTAAGTCCGGATCTTGCTGTACATAGACTCGCTGTGGATCCTAAGAAGAAGCCGGTCAGGCAAAAGAAACGGAACCATGGCGAGGAAAGGTCCCAGGCGGCAGCAACCGAGGTCAAGAAACTCTTGGATGCTGGATTCATCCGGCAATGTTACTACCCGGATTGGGTAGCCAATGTCGTCCTTGTGAAGAAGCCGAATGGAACCTGGCGGATGTGTGTAGATTACACGGACCTCAACAGGGCTTGTCCAAAGGATAGCTACCCGCTTCCAAAGATAGATCATTTGGTAGACTCTACAGCCGGCCATGCCCTGATGAGTTTCATGGACGCCTATTCCGGCTTCCATCAGATACCCTTGTGGAAGAAAGACCAAGAGAAGACTGCTTTCGTCACAGATCAAGGGCTATATTGCTACAAGGTGATGCCGTTTGGGTTGAAGAATGCGCCTGCTACTTTCCAGCGAATGATGAACTCGGTCTTTTATGATCAGATTGGAAGGAACGTGGAGGTGTACATTGATGACATGATTGTCAAATCAAAGCTGCAGGCGAATCATCTAGCCGACCTCCGAGAAACTCTCACCACCCTCAGACGGCATAAAGTCATGTTAAATCCTAAAAAATGCGTCTTTGGAGTTGAGTCCGGGAAGTTTCTTGGATTTTTGATTGATCAGAGGGGCATAGAAGCCAATCCGGACAAAGTACAGGCGGTGATTGACATGCAGTCGCCACGTACCGTCAGGGAGGCTCAAAAGCTTACCGGTTGCCTGGCGGCACTGGGGAGATTCCTCAGCCGGTCAGGTGACAAGTGCCTGTATTTCTTTCAA